TGTTTCACTGTAAAAGACCTAAGACTAAGATATAATGTAACACTGCAGACTAATATTTGTAATATTGTTTCTCTTTGCTTTAGCTTACAGAAAGCATTATCCATCATTCTTGGAATAATGAAATATGATGGTTAGAAAAAGATTGCTCAAGATGTGTATCCACCTAAACGGCTGGCTGAGAAGGGAATATCATTTGTGAAAAACTTCCTTCAGCTGTATGTAACTCCATCTCTATTAATGGAATGATCTTTTCCATAAGCTAATGATGCTGAATTTATACATTTCTCTTGAGCTTCTAATATTGAATCGTTTTTATGTTTTCTTGCAGAAGGTAGGAACCACATGACTTATCTATACTTCTTCAAGATAGTGTACGAGGTACAATCATGTTATTCTTTCCGCTACTTAGTAGTTTCCTAAATTACCTTAGTGATGATTCCATTCTTTTTTTGTTTCAGTTCTTGGAACAACACCTTAGAGAATATGAGCAACTAATATAAAGGAATCCTCCACTTGGGAAAGCATGGACACTAAAGCTTTTCCATCAAAAGGACGATACTAAAGCTATGACTGGGTAGATTGTTATGGAAGTTTAAGGGAAAAGTTATGTAATTGTATGTGAAGTAACTCTGTATTTGATTCAAATTGTTTGTAATATACTGAAAGTATTGAAATAAGAATAGATGTTATTGTGAATAAATTGTTGTTACTTATTGATTTCTTTTAATATAAAAATATCTTTAGTTTAATCTTTATCCATAACAATTCTTCATATTCATGTTATTAGTCAAAAACTATAAAGAATTAAACAGCATTTATATATATATCGCAAAAAAGACAGGTTATGAACCCAAATTATTGACATTTAAAAATATCATAACTAAGTGTCACAAATTATTTGCCGACATTAATCTAAATGTCGGAAAAAAAACGACATTGAAATTTCTGACATTTAAATTAAGTGTAAAATAAATGTCGATAATTGATTTTGTGACATTTATGTGACTTATGCCGACATTTATAAAATGTCGTCGTATGTCATATTTCTTGTAGTGTATCCATTTCAAACGTGAATGTTAATCATAATAGAATATACATAACCTATGTTATATTATTAAACTTATATTACGTTTGCTTTATCGACTTAATCATCTCATATATATTCAGTTAAAATGACAACAGAAGTAGAACTA